TCATAATTACATAATTGTTTAAAAATAATAGACATGAAGTATACAGTACCCTTTTTTTTTTACCTATTAATGGCAACTTCTTTGTCATTTTCTTCTTCTTCTTCTTCTTCTTCTTTCGACTTTTCCCTCTTCAGGGGGCACCACAGCGAGTCATCCTCCTCCAACTCTGTCCTCTGCATCCTCTGTCCTCACTCCAACTACCTCCATGTCTCTAACTGCATCCATATTTCTCCTCTTTGTCTTTTTCCTGGCAGCTATATTTCTAACATCCTTCTACCAATATACCCACTGTCCTTCCTCTGGACATGTCCAAACTATCTCAGTCTGGCCTCTAACTTTATCTCCCGGTTGTTCAACCTGTGCTGTACCTCTGATGATCTCATTCCTAATCTTATCCATCCTTGTCACTCCTAAGAATAACCTCAAGATCTTCATTTCGGACACTTTCAGTTCTTTCTGTCTTTTTGTCCATGTCTCTGTCTCCAAACCATACAACATATCTGGTTTCACCACTGTCTTGTAAACTTTTCCTTTTACCTTTGCTGACACAATTTTGTTGACCCCAAATATTTGAAGTCCTGCATCTTTGTGACCTCTGCTCCTTGTAGCCTCACTGTTGCACCTGTCTCCCTCTCATTCACACACATGTACTCTGTCTCTCTATGGCTGACTTTCATTCCTCTTCTTTCAAGTGCATACCTCCACCTCTCCAAGTTCTCTTCCACCTGTTCCATGTTCTCACCACAGATCACAATGTAATCTGCAAACATCATAGTCCATGAGGATTCCTGCCTGACCTCATCTGTTAGTCGGTCCATCACCTGAGCAAACAAGAAGGGGCTCAGAGCTGATCCTTGATGCACTCCCACCTCCACCTTGAAGCTATCTGTCACTATAGCACATCTCACCACTGTCCCGCTGTCCTCATACATGCCCGGTACCACCAACATATTTCTCTGCCACTCTAGATTTCCTCATGCAATTCCACATCTCCTCTCTCAACACCCTGTCAAATGTGTTTTCTGAATTCACAAAGACACAATGGAGTCCTTTCTGTCTTGCTTCCCTTCCACTTGGTCTCATGGCCACATGAAACATCTACCTTCCTTCTCTGCATCATGTCAGCCAGCACTTTACCTTTGCCTGTCATTGTCCCCACATTTAGAGTTGACTCCCCCATTCCTACTTTGTACATTCTGTACTTTCCTCTTCTCCCTCTGTCTCCTGACACGTTTCCCTCTTCGTGGTCTTAGACTAACAGTAACACAATTTCCGCCGGCACCCTGTTTGTCAACTGCACCGGTGGCGGTCGGTGTTTACCCCGACAAATGTGTTTTATGTTGGATGCCCTTCTGAACACAACACTCACCATTTACCTGGGCTTGGAGTCGCCTCAAAAGATACACTGCTTGTGCTCCCTAGTGGCTGTTTTAATGGCAAATTCAATGTTAAAAATAAAATACTTAAATATATATATATATAGATATATATATATATATATATATATATATATATATATATATTTTTTTTTTTAGCATATGAAAACTAGTTTCACTTTTTTGAGGAGACTAAGCACTATATGCTGAATGCTCTAGTTTTAAGTTATTCAGCAGGATGGAGTAACTTATACAGCTGATAACTCTAAAACAAAAAACTAAAAGCAAATCAATCTAAATCTAATGTAATGCTCGAAGAAAACGTTTTTATCGGTTATAAATACACAACTTGTTTTTCTTGAATGTTTTTGTAGAGAAGTCTTTTTAAAAAAAGGCCCCCAGCGTATTGGCTCAATCTACAAGAAGGCTGTGTATAAGCAGTTCAGCGATGCCACCTACAGGACAGAGGTGATGAAGCCAGAATGGCTGGGTTACCTGGGACCAATGGTGATGGCTGAGGAGGGAGACACTGTGATCATCCACCTAAAGAACACAGCATCCAGACCTTACAGCATCCACGCCCATGGACTCAATTACACCAAAGGCAATGAAGGTGAGAAACAAACTGAAGACACAAAAGACTCTGGACAGAATATGAAAGGTTAATAGATACATGATGTCTGTGTGTGTTTTCCTGCAGGAGCTCTGTACCCAGATGGCACTGATCACACGTTGAAGCACGACGACTCAGTGGCTCCTGGTGCAACTGTGATATACGAGTGGAGCCTCCCAGAATCTCACAGCCCAACATCGATGGACAGTAACTGCATGACCAGGTTCTACCACTCCCATGTCCGCCCACCACATGATATCAGCTCAGGACTGGTAGGACCCCTTCTCACCTGCAAGAAAGGTATTCTTTCAACTCAACTATAACCATGGAAAAGTGACATTACTTCAGATATTCTTGAGTTGTTTTTAAGTGTTTTTATTTGACATTTTCACTTTATGTTCAGCTTTATTTATACTTAGAGAAATATTGTGTTTTCCACTGCACGGACATAACAAAAGATGGAATGGTTACCGAGGTTTGTAATGAATGCTAACAAGAAGACGTTAAGGAGAAATGTCTGTCGTAACATAATGTACTGAATGACTGAATAAAAACATCAAATAAACCAACAACACAAGAAAAAATAAAATTAAAAATCTTTAACACAACTGAATGAAAACAGGCCAATATTGACAAAAGACAGTCTGTTCTTGTTCAAAAAGACTATGGTCTATTTTTTTAAATCCTTCAGTCATCATCTCTAATAAAAATGTATCTCAAATTGTCCTCTTTTCTGTTCTGTAGGAACTCTGGACATACATGGCGACAGGTCAGCAGACTACACGTATGCTCTGCTGTTCATGGTTTCAGATGAGAACCTCAGCTGGTATCTGGATGAGAACATACGGACACACATCACAAATCCTGACAGAAACCTGAAGGAGGATGAAGGTTTCATCGAGAGCAATAAGATGCATGGTGAGGGACTATGCATACTAAACACATACATGTACACGTGTGCTTAAATAGATCCAAACAGGCTAATTACATATATGTTTGTGTTGCAGCAATAAATGGTTTTCTTTTTGGTAACCTACCTGGACTGAGCATGTGCCAAGGCAACAAAATCCACTGGCACATGATTGGCTTAGGCAATGAGGTAACAATTAATATCACTGTAAACATATTGTAGAGGTGGTTTCCTTCAAACTCAAAACATTTTAAAGATCCAAAGGCCACTGCTGTAATGGGGTTGTTTTCCAATGCAGGCCAAGTAAAAGTCCAATGTCCAAACCAAGAATATTTCCTTTGATGGTTTTAATCATTTTCATCAAGAGGCATAAACATTTGTGCTCCTTCTCTGCTGTGGTAATAAACCATGGGCCCACCCCATTGCATGCTGGTCCTACACCTGTTCACCTATTTATGGGTGTCTTTACCAATCCTTCGTAATGAAGCAAACTAATGTAACTAAAATTACTTCTGTTAACAAGCTATTTTTTATTATATATTACAACAAAAAAGTAATCCTAAAAGAATTAAACTAATTAATCATTATTTCAAATATGAAAATATAAAACAGCTACTACACATTTTTGTCTAAGAATATTATCATATTTATTACAGGATTTTTCCAAACAATATTACATAATTTTGTGTTTTTCAACTGTTGTCACTCGATGTGTTTCTGTTAGTCTTATGCTCATATATGTTAATTGAACTTATCAGGTGTCAGTTAATATGGGTTTTAGAGTTCTCGTTTTAGTTGGAGACTTTCTTCACCAATGATCCTTCATATTCTGGGAAAAACAAAGCTGGTTTATTCTATTTTGTTTGGATACCTGAGTGATGTATATTAGCTTTAGTAATAACTGGATTAAAAATGTTATCTATCCACAGGTGGACATGCATTCTGTTCATTTCCACGGCCAGATCCTGACCACTCTGAACCACCACACCGACATGATCAGCCTTTTCCCGGCCTCCAGCACTACAGCAGAAATGGTGGCTGACAACCCTGGACACTGGCTGCTAACATGCACCGTCAATGACCATCTGATGGGTGAGAAAATGTGCTCCAGTCTCAAAATGAGGCTAATTACTTTTAGGACTGAAAGACTTTGTGATCACACTTGCCCGTTTTCTGGACGTTTGTGTGTTTTTCTTTTGTAGCTGGAATGCAGGCTTTGTTTGAGATCAAGAAGTGTTTTCCCAATGTCCACAAGCCCCGTCCTCACGGTGAGCTCCGACAGTTCTTTATTGCTGCTGAGGAGGAGGTCTGGGACTATGCTCCTGCAGTGCCCAGTGACAGGTTGGTTTCTCCATGTACACACAATAATTCAGACAGAAATGATCACGTTTCTGGTCAAACCTGCTAAGAAGAAATTCTTCATCTTTGTGTGCAGCGAGTCTGAAACATTTGTAACCAGAGGTCCAAAGCGCATTGGAAGCCGCTATAAGAAGGCTCGATATGTTGAATACACAGACGATACCTTCACGACAAAGATGCTTCGCAGTCTGGAGGAGCAGCACCTTGGAATTCTGGGTAATTCAAGCTAGGCATGGATTGAAAGCACAATTATTTTTCTTTCTTTCTTATTTCTGCTCATCCTTTCCCTCTTCTGCAATACAACAAACTATCTACATGTTCTCTTTCACCACGTTTTAAATGACCTCCTTGGTGTTAATGCTTTGATCTTTCTTCAGCATCTCTTTTCTGCACATCCCTAAAGCTAACCAAACATCACCTGTTTATCAGATAAACTTTATTTTGACCGATCTCAACTCTCAGCATCATTTACTAGAACAGAAAAATACGTTGAGCTTCATTTGTTGGAGAAAAACTAAATATTTAGCCAAGGTTTTTTTTACTATAAATATTCAAGACTTTAGAAGAACTTGACTGCGTAGGACATGTTTTAAAACATATGCTTTGCATTATTTTCTGTCTACAGGTCCTGTACTTCGAGCTGAAGAGAAAGACACAATCAGGGTGGTGTTTAAGAACAAAGCCAGCCGCCCCTACACAATACAGCCACATGGAGTACAGTACAGCATAGAACAGGATGGGACACTTTACTACAATGAACTAGAAGGTAAATACATGAATAAATACTGTTATTGACAATTCAGATCATCTCCTGGTCTCCTTCCTTCATCTAAAGTTTGACTTTTGTTTCGCCAGAAACACACACCGCAAAGAAACTCCGGGAGCTAAAGAAAGAGATAAGTGTGTTTGAATCTGCAGGACAGAAATGATTTGCATGATTTTTCTCAAACATTTTATTCTTGGCTGTTGCTACAAATAATAAAAACCCTTCTTTCTCTGTATAATTACTGTAGGAGTAGTGACTCCTCCCCCAGCTTCTATGGTCAGACCTGGAACAGTGCACACATATGAGTGGTCGGTACCTGAAGGTGCTGGTCCAGTACAAGGAGAGCCTGACTGTCTGAGCTATTTGTACTACTCTGCAGTAGATGCTATTAAAGACACAAGCTCCGGGCTGGTCGGGCCTCTCCTCATCTGTAGACCTGGATCTCTGAAAAAAGGAGCGCAGGTGACCGATTACAACAATAAGCAGCAGTGATTCAGATTTTTAGTACAGTACAACAAAGTCATACCAACTGATTAGTGTGCTCATTCGGTGGTTTTGTATGTAGTTTGCTTTATTTCCCTTATGACATTTTCCTCTACAATAAGTTTTAATATTGCACTCCAAAATCACTCATGTTAAGTAATTAGTTTAATTATGTTACTTTAAATGGTGACGGAAAAATGATAAATTGTGTTGCTTCCTTTCTCTCTCTTTTATGGTTCAGAAAAATTATAATAAAGAGTTTCACCTCATGGCCACAGTGTTTGATGAGAACCTCAGCTGGTATCTGAATGACAACATCAGAACTTTCACAACTTCACCCACCACTGTCAACAAGGAGGATGAAGACTTTGTGGAGAGCAACAAAATGCATGGTGAGTAAAACACTGCTGGCTTTTTAAAAAATATATTATTATTTCTGCAGTTATAGTTATTTAGTACATAATATTTCCTTTGGGTAAATATTTTTCCATGTCAAGTCCTGTTAAAATGTTTTCTAATGTGTGTGAAATAAACCGCCTTTTGTTTCATCTCTGCGTCTCTCTTTTAGCCATCAATGGGTTTGTGTACAGGAACCTGCCTGGACTGACCATGTGCAAGGGCGATAAAGTCACATGGCACCTCGCAGGGCTGGGCTCAGAAACAGACATCATCAGCCTTTACTTCGAAGGGAACCGGATCATCTATCGCCAGAACAGAAGAGACACTATCAGTGTTTTCCCTCACATCGCACACACTGTCACTATGGAGCCGGACAGCATGGGTATTTTTATTACATACGTATCTTGCAACCAGTACAAGCTTTAAACACACTGGCATTCATACAGGCATTTGAAATAAATAAATAAATATAAATATATAAAATATTTTCTAATAGTCCTAGACGTATAAGGCAGATAATCCACTAAACAATATTCATGACTTTGCAGAAACAAAACCTGCTGAAGTTATAATAAATTATTTGGGAGTGGTGGCGCAGAGGTTAGAGAGGTGGGCTTGTGATCCGAAGATCGCCGGTTCACGCCCCGGCCCCGACAACATCAAAATAAAATTGTGGGTGGGGTAGGTGAAACACCCACACTTGCCCGCACCCTCATTCGCCCCACTCTGGGCCCATGAGCAAGGCCCTTAACCCCCACCATGTGCTCCCTAAACAGGTCTCTCTTGAAAATGAGTTCTCGTGGCTCAATGAGACTAACCTGGATAAATAAAGGCTAAATGAAAAAAATTTAACATTCATATTTATAAAATAAAAACGTGGCACATTTTGCTTTCCAATCCAAAAAGCTGGAGTGAAATAAATACAAAAATTGCTTCAAAAAAGTATACAAAATAATTTGGGAAGAAAGTTAAGCAGTGACTTTTTTTTCTTTTGATGTAATAAATAGCTGATGGTTTGACTTTAGCTAAAAATGTTTTGAAACTCAGGTGAGACTAACTGAATGGGGAAAAACTGGCATGAAGATAAGATACCATCTGAAGCTATAGTCATACAACTGAGTTCTGCAATAATTTAAATATAGAAACAACCTTAGATGTGATGTTTATGCTTTTCAGGTCAGTTTGAAGTGGTTTCTGCCACAGTGGATCATTTTCGAAGTGGTATGCGAGCCAACTACACGGTAGAGAAGTGTGGTCTGTTCCAGCGCCAGAGCGAAGTGATGCTCCATTCAAAAACCTACTACATCGCTGCCGTGGAAACCGACTGGGACTACTCTCCGAACCGCACCTGGGAGGAAGAGATGTTCAGGAGCATGGGAATGAAGTAACTGAAAAATTGTACAATGATTATAAAATGTTGAATTTAAAACACAGACAATATGGCAGTATTTTTTTTATATTTATTAGATGGATAACTGTGTTTCATTAGCAATGGGAAATACTTGTTTGAAATTGCCTTACAAAGGTGAGCTTTAAACATCATATTCTCCCTTGCTGCAGTCCTGCCGTCATCTTTTTGGAAAAGCGTGATGGGTTTATTGGCTCTCAGTACAAGAAGGTTGTCTACAAACAGTTCACCAACGACAAGTTCACCAAGGAGGTGGAAAGAACACCTGATATGGAACATCTTGGCATAATGGGTAAAAATAGCAGTGATAACTTGGGTGTTTATAAATGTTTCAAATGGTTAATATTTTCTCTGGACATGTTTTTTTCTTAGTTGTTTTGCTGTTTGATTCTTTTTGAATGTTTCGTTTAGTTCTTTTGCATCCACCTGCAGTCTTTCCAACATTTTATTTTTACTCTTTTCCATCAATTTTTGAGTTTATTTCTGTGACAAAAACAGAAAGTATGCTATTGTAGGACTTCTTAAAACTCCAACTATAATGAAAACATGTCTCTTGCATTCCAGGGCCAATGATTCATGCTCAAGTGGGGGACAAAGTCAAGGTGGTGTTTAAAAATATGGCGTCCAGACCATATTCCATTCATGCCCACGGAGTAAAGACAGAAACTCCTGATGTATACCAAACTAAACCAGGTACAGGGATGTCTGAAACAACAGAAACACTTAGTAAACTTGACTTGGTAAACGTTTTAACATCGGTATTTATTGTTTGGAAGCACTAAAAGACAAAATAAAACTTAAAATGCCTAATTTTACTGTGAATATCTTTACCGCCGTTTTACAAAATTGTGTCTCTATACAACGTGCACAAAATAGAAATCCTTAAAAGTGATTTATGCTGTCTGTCACAGATGAAACTCACACATACACCTGGTATGTGAACAAGAATACAGGACCGACTGAAGAGCAGGAGGAGTGCGCTGTTTCAGCTTACTACTCTGAAGTCGACGTCATAAAGGTGCAACGATAAAACATGACCAGATGAGACAGAAAGATTCATTTAGACTTACAGTTTTTCTCTCCTCTCAGGATCTGTACAGCGGTCTGATTGGTCCACTGGTGATTTGTCGTCGTAGCTGGGCCAGGTGAATGTTTGACTTACCCCAAGCTGCAAAGACCCAACACAATATAATGTTTTTAAACATATTTTTGCACAGTAACAGTAAAAGTTTGAATAAAACTGTATTGTTTGCAGGAGTTTTGGACTAAAGAAGGAAGTAGAAGAATTTGCACTACTTATGTTGGTTTTTGACGAGAATGAAAGTTGGTAAGTGGAAGAAAATTTATTCTGGACATTCTACGCGCTGTTTTCCCACAATTAAAAGATGAAAACAGATATCCTGAATTCAGTCATAAAATTGTTGAGACATAAGTAAGACTCAGAATTTCCATGTTCATCCACCACCACCCCGGTTATTAGTTTTGGCTACACATTGCATTTAAATCACAAAGTATCTGTCAAATTGCAGGTATCTGGATGAAAACATCAGGAGACACATCAGGAATCCTCGTCCAAACTTAAAAGATGAAGAAGACTTTATTGAAAGCAACAAAATGCATGGTGAGACAAAACAAACCCACACAGTCTAGACATACAGGATATTACAATATCTTTATTTACAATGAAGTCCTATAAGTGTTGCATTAATTTTATAGTTTTTGGGACATTATAGTTTTAGACCTGGTATAAGCTAAAAATTATAATAAAAATAAAAATAAATAACCACTAAACAAGTCAATTTACCTTTCAGCAGTTAGTCATTTTTATAATAAAATAAAAATAGTCATTATTTATGTTTTGTTCTTATGTGTTTGTGTGCAGCTGTCAATGGTTATGTGTATGCCAATCTGAATGGTTTGAACATGGAGGTGGGCGATAAGGTGTACTGGTACCTGATGGGAATGGGCAATGAAGTGGACATACACACTGTGCACTGGCATGGCCATAGTGTGGAATATAAGGTACAACACATCAAGCTGATAAATACTGGACACTATCAGATAATCCTAAAATAAAAATCTTAGAATGCATAAATAATACCCTTTACAATATTCTTTACCCTGCAGCTGGGCGGAGGTCCTCATCGTGTAGACTCCTATGAGCTGCTTCCAGCTACCTTCCAGGTAAAACCTCAACAAACCTAAAATTTTTACAGATTTTAGGATTTAGACTCTTTTCTGTGTCTCAGTATTTAAATTTAAAGGGTTCACAAACTTTCAAGCACCACAGTATAAACATCACAAATCTAAAAAATATAAAGTGATGGCATGGAAGCGAAGTAAAAGTACACAAAACCCAACAGGCATGGCATGCTTTCACTGTAGACAAACAGTTACTGTATTTAGCACTGTTAAAAGTGAAATGGTGTAAAATGGTGCAAGAAAAATTATTAGAGATATTACACTTGTGGCTAATTTAAGTTGGGATTTATTACTTCTACTACTGAAAGGGTCAATTAACCAGAATCCTGTTGATTCTTGTTTAGACGGTGAAAATGCGTCCTCAGTTTCCTGGTACCTGGCTGGTCCACTGTCACATCTCCGACCACATTTCATCTGGAATGGAGGCAATGTATACTGTCACTGAAAAAGGTAATGAACCAAACACAACGTTCAAAACACAAATATTAAAAGGTATTGATAAGGGTGCTGTTTTAGATTAAAACTTGTTTTGTCTTTTTTTTTTATGTATCGACAGCAAAGAGAAGTGGACTCTTGGGTTAAACGGACAAAGAAAATAGATTTAACACTAAGACAAGTTAAACATTAATTTATCTGACCAGTTTACTAAATGCTAATCAAAACAACTACTGACTGCTACTGGAACAAATAACCTATCTTTACAAATGTTAAGTAAATTTTAACAATCCAATTTTCCATGTTTAAATAGTGTCAACAACTGCCAATTTGTTGTTTAAAATAAATAATAAAACTTTATTATTTACTACCTACTTTTTTGTATGCTTTCTGAAAGTAAGACAACAGTTTTGAAGAAGACAAATTAGCCTTGTAGTACACAGCTGTACACAGATGTTTTAGTTGAATTCTTAATCAAAGATTATTTTATTTCTGTAGACGGTGTTTCCGTCTGCACATATTGGCTTTTTTCTTTATGACATTATCTTTAACCCTGTATGACATTTTTTTAAATGTCTGTTTTGCAGATACAGTGTACTTTGCTTTTAATTTTTATTTATAGATCATCACACAGCAAACATTAACACAGGGATGAGGGAGCTTGGATTAAAAAGCCCAGCAATTCATTTTTGTTCTAGAACTGGCTCAAAGCAGCTGCCTGTTGGACTAGCTGTTATTCATTCTGGGACATTGCTTTTGAAAACTTTATTTCCTCTTTTATTCTGGGTTTAAATGGCTTTTTTGGATGATTCCTTCCTCCGGTATTGGATGCCGTGCAGCTGGAAGGATTTTAACTGAAACCCTTTCACTTTTGGACATTTGTTATTAAGCGTAACCATGACAACAAGGTGAGCAGCTGATTACCATCTCAAAGCTCAAATATCAAATACAACCCCAAATCCCAAATGAGTTGTAAAGGAGGCGCCGTGGATGCACCTCTGTCTACCTGGTGGAGGTACTCGAGTGACTGACTGCTGAGATCATTGGAGTTGACAGAAAACATGGCTCACGATAACAAGAAGACCAGGACCATCCCCCAACACCTGTAGCTGGTTGTCTACAATGATGAGGAGCATAACAAGCTGCTGAGAGGAGCGGCCATCACTCAGGGAGGAGTTCTGCCCGACATTCAGGTGGTCCTGCTGTCCAGGAGGACCAAGAGACCCTCTGCGTCCAGGTGGATGGATCAGCATCTATGGCCAGATTCTTCAGATCCACTGCGGGAGATCCTTCCTGCCCACAGCCATCAGCATCTATAACAACTCCTAATGAAACCAGGATGATGAGCTACAACATTTAATTTCCCTCTGGGATTAATAAAGTATTTTGAATTGACTCTAGACGTCAGAGCGTAACCTTATTTCTGCAGAACTATCCCAAAAAATTGTCCTTATCATTGTACATTAATGATGCTTGATGTAGAAAATAATATAAATACATTAATCTTTATTTAAATCAAATTATTATCTAAAGGATTCCAGGGTACTGATGGGTTAACTTGACTAAAGCTAGTATAAATGTAGTTTGAAGTGTAACAGATGTTCTTCTGATTCTTATGATTCTTATGATCTTCTTAAGATGTGATATTATTTATGGTTTCATAATGTACAATAATTAAATTATACTGAAGTCAAAGCCCACATCACGTTGATTACATGTAGTTTCCCTAAAGCAACACAGGGTGGCAACGCTGGTGCACAGATTCACAGATACCTTTGACACCAGTAATAGTCATAAAACATGCAGACAGTTTGACTTTTTATAAAGTTTTAAACAAAAGGAAACAAGCTAAGTCTCTTTGATTGACTGGAGATGGATTCAAATAAACAGGAAACCTATTTGTTGCCCACAGAAGGCAGGAACTGAAACATAATCTTTCTTTACTATTTAAAATGACAGATAAGGCTTTATTCTTAACAGAAGATTTAAACGTGTATCAAAACTAGAAACAAACAAGAAATACACAGAGAAATGGCAAATTTAGACTGCACACACACACACCTGCACGCATAGGCACACGTCACTGTGCTGATAAACATTTTTTAAATTAGTAATAATGATGGCGATGGGTAAAGTGTGCACATCATTTTTCCACTGAATTTTTATGTGCTTTAAGGAATGATACCAAAACCACTCCTAAATTTCCTGAATCTAAACTTGTTTTATTTTTCTGAAAGCGGTCCCAAAACTGAAACCCCAGTTCTCTGAATGCTGTAAATGCTTAAAACTGGAGCCTAGTATTCAGTAAACACCAGCACAAACAAAACGGGATTAAAAAAAAAGTAATGAGCCATTTTAGAAGTCACTGACTCAGATAAGAGATTCAAATTCATTTCAAAAGTCAATACGCAGTCTGACAGAGCTCTGAAGATTTTGTAATTTTGTATTTTCATTGAGTGTAAAGATTGTTGAGATTTTATCATTATGGAATATACACTCACACAACAGATATCCCCACCACACACACAATTTTGTTCTCTAAAAAATATTTTTCAACGTGCAGCTGTGTCTAAGCAGTCACCTGCAGTACTCCTGTAGCTGCCAAGGAAATTACTTTTTTCATTCACTCAACCTTTATTTAGACAGGTAACTCCCATTGAGCCTCGAGGACTCATTTACAAGAGAGACCTGATTTCAACAAAGAATGATGACAACAATGGACAACAGCGACAACAATAAACAGTTATACAATTTTTTTTTTTTTTTTACAAACAGGATGGCTAATAAAATAGAAAAATAACAATAAAAAGCTAGATTCTAAGGCGAATGTAGAAAACTAAAAACAGGAATATGTCTGCATTGGTCCCAGCCAGGAGTCCAACAGATCCTTAAAGCCACTTAGAGAGGACAAGTTAGAGAGCTTCAAATCTTTTTGTAAGATGTTCCAAGAAACAGGAGCGGAGTAGGAGAAGGCCCTTTTGCCTAGTTCAGTCCTCACTGAGGGAACACTGCAGGTAATAATGTCCTGAGAGCGCACGCTGTAGCTGCACTCACGCAGAGACATGTAGGAGGAGATATATGAAGGCAGCAGACCAAGAAGTGATTTAAAGATGAAAATGTACCAGTGAGAGAGTCTGCGTGAAGTTAATGTTGTCCAGTTAACCAGTGAATACAGAGTGCAGTGGTGGGTATGATAATCACAACCAGTTATGAATCTTAGTGCACCATGATAGACAGCATCCAACATCTGCAGGGTTCTTGTAGGAGCGTTCATGTAAATGATGTCACTGTAATCAATGGAGGGAAGGAAAGTCACAGATACAAGGCGTTTCGTAGCATTCCGAGTTAGACAGGATCTGTTTCTGAAAAAGAAACCCAGTTTAACTTTCAGTTTCTTTACCAAGTTTTCCACATGGAGCTTAAAAGAGAGATGTGTGTCGACCAAGATACAGAAATATTTATAGGAATCAACAAACTCAGTCGGGACACCATTTTTTTGTGATTATCGTACCCACCACTGCACCCTGTATTCATTGGTTAACTGGACATCATTAACTTCACGCAGACTCTCTCACTGGTACATTTTCATCTTTAAATCACTTCTTGGTCTGCTGCCTTCATACATCTCCTCCTACATGTCTCTGCGTGAGTGCAGCTACAGCGTGCGCTCTCAGGACATTATTACCTGCAGTGTTCCCTCAGTGAGGACTGAACTAGGCAAAAGGGCCTTCTCCTACTCCGCTCCTGTTTCCTGGAATATCTTACAAAAAGATTTGAAGCTCTCGACCTTGACCTCTCTAAGTGGCTTTAAGAATATGTTGGACTCCTGGCAGGGTCCAATGCAGACATGTTCCTGTTTTTAGTTTTCTACATTTGTCTTGGAATCTAGCTGTTTTTTTGTTTTGTTACCTTTTTCCTTTTAGCCATCCTATTTGTTAAAAAAACAAAAAACAAAAAACAAAAACTGTAGTATGAGTTTTTATAACTGCTTATTGTTGTTGCTGTTGTCCATTGTTGTCATCTTTCTTTGTTGAAATCAGGTCTCTCTTGTAAATGAGTCCTCGAGGCTCAATGGGATTTACCTGTATAAATAAAGGTTGATTGATTTGAGGATGAAATCAGAGGAAGAACTGCTGGGACCAACTTCCTATTTGAAATGACAAATAAAGTCAGCTCTGATCTAACCCTTTCCACACTCATATCATAATTATGTGAACTCAGCTGTATTCATTCAGTAACACTAAATCCAATGCAGGAATCAGTCTCTAAACTTTCCAGCAACATCTTCTGCATCTATTCTCAGAGATTCAGTCCAACTCAGTTCAGTTTATTTATATAGCGCCAAGCCACAACAGAAGTTGTCGCAGGGCACTGAACAGAAACATTCCAATACCGTTTAAAAAGCCAGTTAGTAAAGTTATCTATAAGGAAGCCGGCAGATTGTGTTGAATCTTCACTTTGTCGCAGTCCCCCATTTTGAGCAAGCACAAAAGGAGACAGTGGAAAGGAAAAACTCCCTTTCAACTGGAAGAAACCTTCAGCAGAACCAGGCTCAGAAACATCTGCTTCGACCAGCTGGGGTTTGAGAGAACAGGAAGTAGAAACAAAATCAGAATGAGAGGTCCGGGTGTCCTTTCTATTGGAGGAAAGACAAAGTAAAACACATGTTAAAGATAGAAATCATTACAAATACAAACAGGTGGAGGAGAGCAAGTAAAAACAGTGGCAGAGCGAGGAAATGTGGTCAGTTTGTCCTCTGGCAGTCTAAGCAGCATAAGTAAGGCTGATGGGGCTCAAATAACGCTGCAGGACACATTTTAAAGAAAACGTACGAGAAGGTCAACCTTTCATGATACTGGAACCGGTTCATTTTGTTATAACTATTTGATCATAAATAGGAAAATACATTTTGGTTTGGTTAAAAAGGGATGGAGTCATGCTCAACTCAACACGATGCTTTAACAAAACACGACGCAACTTTTAGCTTTGCCTTGGCAGACCTCATGAGGAACAGTTCTTGTACTTCTCAGAGGCCGGGCTTACAAATCAAATGGTGATTGATTGATTTGGTGGTTTCAGATTTGAGTTCATATTCTTTTTATTTCTATTAGGCAATTGTTAATCTCCAACTTGTTACATTTATTTGATTCTAAGTGTTTGTACTGGTGCTGAAATCAAATTTGACTTGTTCAGCTCAGTCATCAGGGGACACGGTGAGAAGTGTAGCAATCTTTAAGTGGAATGAAAGGAGGCCTCTCTGATTCTCCCCTTTATTTCCAGTTGTAAAA